ACATCCAGAAGTATATAACTTGTTCTGCATTTTAAATCCATCACCTCTCTGGCAGAAGGTAGGTAGCATGCTTTATCTTTGGTCCTCTGGAATCATTGTTGGTCAGTGTATTGATTCAGAGATCTAATGTCTTTAGAATCAGAGAGGACAAGGACGTGTGTGTGTGTGTGTGTGTGTGTGTGTGTGTGTGTGTGTGTGTGTGTGTGTGTGTGTAAGCTCTTTTCATGGAGGCAAAGAATTGAAAAATGAGGAGATGCCAATCAGTTGGAGAATGAAGGGGATGACTTCAAAGAAAACTAGGAAGACTTGTATGAACTTACGCAAAGTGAAGTAAGTAGAACCAAGAGAACAACGTATACAATAACAATATTTTAAGGACAAACAACTTTGAAAGTCTTAGAAACTTTATAAACACAATGACCAATCAGAATCCTAGAGAACTTATAATGAAACATGCTACTCATTTCTAGATAGAGAGATGATGGACTCAGAGTACAGATTGAAACATCACTCTCTGTCCCTCTGTCTCTGTCCCTCCCTCCCCCCTCTATCCATCCATCTATCTACACATATACATATATGGGTGTATATACATACACCCATATATGTATGTATGCATGTATGTATCTGACATAGCCAACGTGGGAATTTCTTTTTGCTTGACTATGCATATTTGTAACGGGGAAGTTGTTTTTCTTTATGTTTTTGTTATTATAGAAACTATTCTCCTGATTCTGCTCATTTTAGTCTGATTTCATTCCTTTTTTTCAATTTCCTATGAAGCTGACCATTTGATCATTTCTCATGTTCCACCACATTCATATACCACAGTTTTTTCAGCCATTCTCCAATAGGTGGGCACCCCTTCAATTTCCATGTTTTTACTAGTACTTTCATTTTTGTCTGAAAGCCTTTCATTGCCTAGAAAAGTGCGTTTGTAGGTACTAAATAAATGCTAGTTAAATTGAAGTTGAATATCGGATAAGTGAATCCATAAAGCCTCTGTATTTGTACCAAATGAAAAGAGAAGGTTACAGCCCATGACCTCTAAAAGTTTCTATTGGAGGAATTTCTGAAGCCATGTTCAGATACTTTCTCAGCCAGGGTATCTTATGTTAAACTCTGAAAGAATATTATTTGAATTTTTAAAAATATATTATCTAACATTAACATAAAGGCAAAGCCATTAGTTGTTTTCTTCAACTGCACTAAATAAACTACACAATGAAAGTTTATAGGATTCATGGTTCTTCCTATGGGGTCTAGGCTGAATTTTATCTTTACTCAGCAAACCCCTTCTTCACAGAGCACAAATTAACAGTGCATAGAAGAGCACAGGGGGAGATGTTTAAAATACTTTTTTTAAAAACCAGAGACTATTTCAAGGACCCTTATGTGCTTCAGAAGCACTATATTCCATACAAATAATTCTACATGCCACTTTCAAATCATTATCTAGCCATCAAATCAGGTTTCCTAATGACTGCTAAAAAGCAACACCACCATCCCAGGTAGCTATGTGTTCTAGAATTTATAATGATTTACTTGGCTGTCATGCCCCTGAATCCTTTGAATCTACAACCTGGACCAACATTATCCCCTCACCTTCCCCCCACACCCAAAGGCCCACCACATCCTCTGATTGGAGGACTGATTCCATCCCAAGGCAACAGGATGCAGAGACTGCAAGGCCAGCAGCTCATCAGCTCATCCAACTCAGGCCTGATGGTCTAAGTACTCTTATTCCAGTATCTGGGATCTTGTTTTATTCCTTCTGACCAAACCCTAATTTTATACCTCAATTCTAATAACTGGCACTTTAGTCTGATTTCTCAGATTTTCAACAATTCCATTCAATTAAACAAGGACTTATTAACAGTATGTTTAAGACAATATGCCAAATTCTGAACGTACAAAGACAAAAAAATGAAAGCCTTTTCCCTCAAGTTGAGAGCTTCTTTTTCCAGAATCTCAGATCTATCTCCGCCCTCCTCATCTCTCCAAAGAACTGGAGTCATGTCTACAAAAATGAGAATTGGATCTCATATGTTACTAAGAATTTTGTGACCTCAGTGATATGCCTTCTTGTGCCTTCGCCTAATATTTGTTACTACGACATCCCTCAATTGTTTGCAGTACTCCCAAGGGGCCGGTTGGTCTTTTGCTGCTACCCATACCCACTTTACGGGTCAGCTAGGTGACATAATGGATAGAGAACTGGACTTTTAGTAGGGAAGACCTAAATCCAAAATGTCTCTCAGGTACTAGCTGTGTGACCCTGGACAAGTCACTTATCCTCTCTGTACCTCAGTTTGTTCTTCTGTAAAATGCAGATTGACTTTGATTTGCATGAGGGAGGACTGTGCAAAGTCACCAGCCTCACTTTCTGCTCCAGAGCCATCTGGGTCCGAAGGCCAGACATTGATCAAGGCGACTAGAAATGGCCCAGGATGCAGTGGGAAACTTTGGCCGATGGTCCTCTTCAGAACAAAGAACAAACCACAACCTGTGAGTAGTCTGAGCTGCCTGAATGGGGACCCAGTTGGCCACTCTGATTGGGCAACTCAGCTCCCCTCACCTCTCCTTTCCTCTCCTCTCCCCTCCTCTTACCTGACAGTGTTCTCCCTAAAGAAAGGTAAATTTTGAAGCTACCTAGTTACCTTGGGTTTTACTGCCTAGATTTCTTTCTCAAAGACCAAGCCTTAAACCCAATCTCACCCTTGATCTCCTGGTTTGGACAGCAATAGGGCCCTGCCCAAGCACCACTTAATGGTTATTTTGGGGTCCCTCTAGACTCAGAGAGGATGTAAATAGTAACTGCTTCTCTCTTGGCCAGCAGCCCTGAGGGTCTTCACCTCCCAGTTTGATTTTTTTAAATTAAAGGGGCCATCCCTTGACTCACTTCTTAAAAAGGCCTATTCATTGAATGGGCTTTGCCTCCCTCAAAGTGAGCTTAAAAGGGCCAAGTTCTCCCACTGCATCCTGGGCCATCTCCTGTCATCCTGATTTTTATCTGGTCACTGGACCCAGATGACTCTGGAGGAGAAAGTAAGGCTAGGGACATTGCACAACCCTCACTCACTCAAAATAAAGTCAACTGCAAGTCATGTCATCATCTCCCTGATGTCATGGTCCTCTTTGAGAACAAAGGACAAGCTATGCACACAAAATGCAAATAATAAAGTTCCTGCTTCTCATGAGTATTATGAGGATCAAACGAGATCTTTGCAACCTGCCTTGAAAATCTTAAATGTTTCTAGTAGCTATTTTTACTGTATTTCCCACAGCACTTGACCCATTGGTGTCCCTTGTAGAGGGATTCAATTTTCTCTTAAATCCTCCTCTGGCAGATTTGTCAGGTGTATATGTTTTGTTGAGTTTGAGTGATCAGAGATGAATCTGTAATGACAGGCTGCAAACATGGTTTTTGTTTGTTTGTCTGTTTTGTTTTCTTGGCTTCTGAGCATGTGTGAGATGGTGGTTGGGTTCACCTGTCCTCTACCCTGCCTCTCAGTCTTTTGCAGCATATGAAAGTTCACCCTATAACTGTGACTTAAGGTAAAGAATAATCACATGACACAAAATCCAACATATGTATTTCATTTTAATTTGGATACACTCACCATCATTAAATAACATAAATAAGTGAACTCACAGCACCTCTTTCCAAAGTACTCCAAAAGAACATCCAAAGTGGGAGAGTAGGGGATTCAGACAGACTGCATGATCTGCATGAAGTAGTGGTACACCCTATTGCCCTGTCTAGGCAGGTACATAATCCCCAGGCTGTGTTGGGATCGGAGAGATGTACTGCTTGGGAAACCAGTCTGAACTACACATCCCAAGATAATTAGGAAAAAAAAGGAGTTCTCTAACGAGGTTTCTTTGATTTACAAGAATCAGTTGAAGGAACCAGACAGAGGTGGTTAGCTTGAAGACAAAAACTTATGGGGAACTGAGATGGCTCTCTTCAAATATCTGAAACTCCATAATATGAAAGAATTAAATTTGTTCTGATTATCATGATTGGCCTCAGAGGACAGAACTGGGAGAAATGGAAATTGCAGAGAACAAGATTCAGTTCAACGTAAGAGAAAATTTCCTAAGAATTAGAGAAGCTATTAAAAAATTTTAATATAAAAATAATAGCTAGCATTTATATAGCACTTTAAGGTTTGCCAAGCACTTTATAGATATTATATCATTTAAAGCTCATTAAAAAAAACCCTGTGGAGTAGGTGTTATTATTATCCCCATTTTACAGTTGAAGACACTAAAGCAGACCAAGGTTGAATGATTTGCCCTGGGTCACACAGCCAGGAAGAGTCTGAGGAAGGATTTGAACTTAGGGCTTCCAGTCTCTGGATCTAGTGCTCTGTGCCACCTAGCTGCTATCCAAAAGTTAAGGAGATTGCCTCAGACATTAACCAGTTTGATGTCTTCCATCAAAAACCGGATGGCTACTTCTAAGGGATATTATAGAGGGAATTCTTGCTCAGATACAAACTAGACGAGAGGACCTACAAAATCCCTTACACCTTTGTGATTCTCCAGTATGTAACTATAAAATTATAAAAATAGGCTAGCACTGATGCAGAATGAAGTTAGCAGAGCCATGGAATTAATGTACATAACGGTAACAACGATGTAAATGGAAAGAAAAACCACTACAGAATATTCAAAAATAAAAGTTGCAAAATTACAAAGCACAGGTTTAGCCCCAAATAAGAGGTTAAGAAATTCCACCTCCCTTCTGCACTTTGAGTGTGGAGCACTGTGTATGTTGTCAGATTTTTGTTCAATGTATTGATCATTTTTGCCAATTCCCCCCCCTTCCTCTACTTTCCTCTTAAAAATTCTTTGATATATAGGATGGTTCTCTGGGAGTGATGAGGGGAAGGAATTCAAAGAGAAATTTAAGCAACATAAAAATAACTTTATAAAAACTGTGTCAGAATTTATATATCCAAATGAGACGCAGCCTTCAAAGTAGTCACCTCGAGCAATCACACATATTTATTCCTATGATAGAGCCCTTGCTCAAAGTGCTTTTGAAACTGCTCTTTAGGAATTGCTAATCAAGGCCAGGTTCCTTTCTACCCCTTTCTCAGTTGTGCCTGGGCCAGTCTTGTCCATCTAGACATCTTTTGAACTTCCAGGTAACTTCTCAAAAACAATCCTTGTGGTGAGCCGAATTGTGGATCAGGGTTTCCATGTTGCCTTCTTTGAGCTAGCAAAACCCAACTTGATTGGGTCAGCCCCAGCCTTCAAGATGCATGTATGCTAAGGCTTAAGCAACCTGGAAATTGGATGCCACCCATGGCACCATCAGCCAATTGTTTGTTAGGGCGCAGTTAGAGTTAAGTTTCCTAGCTCTTTGTCCCTCATTCTCCATTTCTTCATAAGTAATTCAGAGAATGAGGTTGAGAACTAGAGGCCCATGCTTTCCCCCATTGTTTCACACCATTGAATCTAGGAAGTCTCCTATTAGTGTCATCTCAGCTCTTTTTCTAAAATTTCTGATTTTGAGTCCTAAGTGGCCTCACACCTACGTTATTCCCTTTGGCATCTGTTCTCCCCTAACCTTTGTGAGTTTAAAACAAACAAAAAAAATCTCTGTTAACCTCCATTCCCAAGTGACTCTGTCTCTCTTTGTCCAAACCACTCCACTCCCTTTGTACTTTCCATTCTAGCTTAAAGACCACACCACAAAATCAAGCTTCTTATTGTATGCCCCTACCTCACATTATAACAAAAATAGTATCCCCCAGCTTGATCATGCACCTCATTCACCATGTTTAGCTTAGATTTTGAGCTCTTTCCAAAAATTAAATTTGCCCTTAAAGGAAAAAGGATTTCCACCAGTAAAATTACACATGAGTGTGCTTCAAGGTTTAAGGACAATTTCCAAACAGGAATCACAAAATGTTAAGGGAACTTGGAGACCATTTACTTCTATCCCTTTCATTTTATAGATAGGACATTGAGGTCCAGAGAAATGAAGAGACTTGCTCTAAGCTATACAACTAGGAAGAAGCACGCCATTGATGTAGAAGATCACAGGATTATCAAATTTCGAGCCAGAAGGAAAAAAGAAATAAATCCTGTTAAAAAATATGCTACATGGGAAAAGAGGAGGCAGACCAGCTTGCAGGGAGAAAAGTTACGAGTAATTCAAAATGATTCCATCATGCAAATAAGCACACAGAATGACCAGGATCCCAAGCTGCAGAATTGAAAGGAAATCTTGTCAAACCTGTCATTTTACAAATGAAGAAACTGATAGCCAGCCAAACTTGGGGGTCAACAACCGGTACCTCCTTTTTTAGAATTCTTCTGAGGAAGTAGAACAACAAGACATTCCAGCCAATAATACAGACAAAAGGAAGGAAGGCAGGATGGTTCATGGAACCATGCTGGCAGTAGATGTTCAGCAGAGAGAAAATGGGACAGCTGTGCTGGCAGCATGGAGCAGACTCATGGAACAGTGAAATCCAAGGCAGTGTGGCCCACACCCATATCTTCTGAACCTACTAGGTCCAAGCAATCAGATTTACCATGATCATGTGTAGTGCCTGGTGAGGCTTTTCCTAATAATGTCCCTGGTTCAGCTCCTTTGGATTTCCAAGCTGGACAAACCTGGGTGCCTGAAAATGACATATTGATTCCTCTCTTATTATTGCCTACCTACTCTTTCCCATCCCTAGAAGTAGAAGACAATTGGTTGTGCCCCAGATGTGTCTACAGGAACAAAATCCCGATGGACAATATACTGTAACCATAAAGGACCAAGGCCAAAAGATTGTTTTTGACTTCCTCAAGATACTGCCTTATAAATGTGACTTTCCTTCCTTCAACTTAGATTTTCTTTCCCAGTTAGTGCTTGGTGCAGATCCTGTTTCCATTGGGAAACAGTTTCTATCCACCCAGGATCTTGGTAAGGATAGAAAAGTCCTCACAAGTCAACAAGGTAGGAAGGACCTCGCATTGCAACCAAGTCCACATATTATATGGTTTTGGTCGGCAGCTGAGGAGAGAGAAAAGTAAAAATCTTACAACCAAATGAAATATAAGTCTATTCATAAAATAAAAATGCTCCCTGAAAACAAGGATTTAGTTTTGACCTTGCACATCCATTGCCAAGCACTGTGACTCCTACAAAGTAAACACTTAAATGCTTGTTGAAATGAAGGGAAGTGAGTCTATCCCAACCCTGTCATTTTACAGATGAGGAAACTGAGTCCCAGAGAGTAAATTGAACTGCCCAAGGTTACAACACATAAAAATCAATGTAATCTTGTGGATTTTCTGCCACAAATCCTGGTGGCAGCCAGGAACCCCCATCTGGCCCTAGATTCCTAGATCTGCCTTCTTGAGAAGTCTTTTTCCAGGGGGTTACTGGATCCAGTCTCTAGGGGTCAGCAGCTTCCCCAAACCAAACCAAAGGCTACCACAAGCTTCTCCCCTCACCATTTTGGTCCATATCCTATGCATCTGTAGGGCATCATTTATTCATAATATAATGTTATTTTATTATAACTAAGGAATATTATACTAGTTTAAGGACAGGAATATTTAAAACAGGAAACCAAAATGAAATGAGCAAATGTAACAAAGCAGACTATTTTATAGCTTGTAGAACAGGGCTGATGACATTCTCAGTTATCTCAGAGCCCTATGCTATCTCTTCCATAGATCTCCTGCTCCCTTCTTCTGATTGGCATCATTCTTCCTAGAACCTCCATTTTACAAGAAAATGTCCACCTCAGACATATCTTCATTTCTCTCCAGCCTCTATTCTTGACTCTCCAGACATTTTCTATCATACCTCCAAGTGGCTACCTTCCTTCACCTCCATCACTCTTTTCAGCTTCCTTTTAGGTGTCATCTTTTTTTAATCAATATAAACTCCCTGAGGGCAAGAACTATCTTTCTGCTTGTATTTGAACCCCCAGAGCTTATCACAGTGCCTGGCACATAGTAATAATAAATATTTGTTTCTTTTTAACAAATTGGCCCCGCAATTTATGGTTCACTCTTGATCACCCAATTTCTACTTCCAAATAAGAGTCTCTACTTCTAGAAGTTCTCTTACCTCCCTGAGCCTCAGTTTCCTCATCTAGAATGAATAATAATATTCGTAGCACCTACCTTACCACATTCATAGAATCATAGAGCTAAAACAAAAGGACCTTCAAGGTCATCCAGTCTAACCCCTTTATTTTACAGGTAAGGAAAGCAAGGCCCAGAGAGATGAAGGGTCATGCCCAGGGTACAAAGTAGTTCAAGACAATAGGTGACAGGTGGAATTTAAGCCCTAGGCCTCTGACTCCAAATGCTGACTCTTTGTTTTCTACTACAACATAAAACTTAAATGAGATAATGGGTGTAAAGCATTTTACAAACTTTAAAGCCCATAAAGTCAGTTACTACAACTACTTTCTACTTACAGCAGTTCCCTCATGTTTTTAATGAATAAATGAATGTATATCTTCATATCTATGAAGCTTATATTCTTTCCCTCCAGGGCCAAATAACACATAGAAGCCATTGAAAACCATTTTCTTATGACCTTGCCCTGAAATGTTATGAACAAATGGAAATACTGGACGAATAAGTACAGCCACTTTGAAATGGCTGATATTCATTGCGTTTTGGTATTTTTTTTAAAAGCATACTTAAAGCAATTTATTGTCAGATCTCCCATATCACACACACACACACACACACACACACATACACACATACATACTTCTCCAAATGAAAGTTCTCAGAGGTTAAAAAGATCTTCTTCATCTTCTTCTATCCTACTAGGCAGGGTGCCAAGAGCATTGCTAACTTCTCCAGCATTGTTTGGCCTATAAAGAAAAACAGAGATTGTTCATGAAGAAGTTGGGTCCAAAACAGAATGTCCATTTATGGCAGAATCGTATAAATTTCAAGCTGGTAGTCCAACCCCTTCCATTTACAGGCAAGTAAACTCTAGGCCAGCTAGAGCTGAATGAGGGGCAGCTAGGTGGCTCAGTGGATAGAGTGCTAGGCCTAGAATCAGGAAGACCTGAGTATAAACCTGGCCTCAGATACTTACTAGCTCTGTGACCCTAGGCAAGTCACTTAACCTCTGTTGCCTTAATTTACTGATAAGGAGATGGCAAACCACTCCATTGTCTTTGCTAAGAAAATCCTAGGCCCAATGTTAGCATACTATGGTCCATGGGGTAAGGAAGAGTTGGGCATAGCTGAATGACTGAACAGTAACATCAAAAACTCCAGACCAAAGAAGGGAATTCTTTCCATAGTCTATGGTCTTGACCTATGTATTTATAGTGAGAAGACTGAAAGTCTGTGTTGACAGAACATTTGAAGATGAATACAAAGAATTTGAGTATGTGATGGTATAATCAATCTTTATCTCTAAATTGGTCCTGGGAGACTGGACCTTATGATTCCATCGGCATAGAGAATGCCCTTTACCAAAGCGGACAGCACCTTCTCTGCAGTTTCTAATCTTGGAGAGCTGCCTAGAACACTAAGAATGTAAGTGATGTGCTCAGAGTCTCACAGGCAAAATAATTCAGAGACAGACCTCAAACCCAGGTCTTCTGGCCTTCAAAGTTAGTTTCTCCAGCCACTGGCAGTTATATCTGTTGACAACTTACAAAACTCCCTGTTCTCTTCTCAAATAGCTTTATAGAGGAAGAGATGGTCAGAACACCCTTTATATGATATTTTAAGCACTGTTCAGATCAAACTGGTCTTAGTTCTAAAGAGGCAGAAGGGCAAATTCCAAGGATTGGAATTCTTCTGTTTTCACCCAACCCTGAAGTGGCCCATCATTTCCAATGTGCAGCTGGAAGCTGAAAGGCAAGGCAGGCCCATTTGCAACTGGTCGGATAATAAGGAGCCATTAAGCTATCAAGCTTAATGAGTGTAATCATAACTAAACAAGTCCTGTAGTCATTACCACACACACATCAGCAGAGAGGCAGGCAAGAGAGATTACCTTTTGTGTGTAACTGAATAATTCTTTCTCATGATTTTACCTAGAAACAAAACAAGGTTACAGTATGAAATGTGGGTGAACAAGAAAGACAATTTCAGTGAGAATCTCAAAGTAACACTGGACTATGAATGGAAAGAACACAAACCTAACAGTTACCAGATTGGCCCTTGGGGGTGGGGAAAGGGGGAAGGGATGGATAGTCAGTGCATAAAAGCATTATTAGTTCCTGGAGGACAGATCCCCAGAGATATATTTACCCAATGCTCTCTTTTAAAGCATCACCATACCTTCCATAGGTCACCAAGTTGTTCTGAGTCTAATCTAATAATTGAGTCCCTTACCCTTGAAATCAAATACCCACATGTTTCAAACCACAGCCATTTCTTTATTATAATATCTGTACCAAGGAAAACATCTAACCATGTATTTGTGTAAGGTCTAACCCAAAACAGCTCAATGTTTTCTTTTTTATCAGCTATAAATTACTTAGAGATTCCACGAAACACAATGATCCAAGACAATTCCAAAGGACTCGAGGGAAAATGCTGTTCACATCCAGAGAAAGAACTGATGGAATCTGAATACAGATCAAAGAATACTATTTTCACTTTATTTTTTCATAGCTATTTTTTCTTTTGGTCTGTTACTTCTTTCACATCGTGACTAATATGGAAATATCTTATATGATTACACACATAAAACCTTTATTAAGTTGCTTACCATCTTTCAGAGGGGAGAGATAAGGAAGAGAGGGAGAAAATCTGAAACTCAATTTTTTTTAAATGTATGTTAAAATTTGTCTTTACATGTAATTAGAAAAAGTAAAATATTATTTTTTTCTTTCTTAATTATATATGACAACACCAAGTAGTGTAATGAAATAAGCCAAGCAACACTTGCAGATATCTTTGCTTACAACCAAATTAAACAAGTACTTGGCATCTCCTCCCCAAAAAACTTAAAATTATTTTCTTCACTGGACCCTGGGTGGCCATTCTCTATTTTACATACAGAATGGGAAGCCATGTTACTATATTTAGCTTGAAGTCTGAAAACTTGATTCAGGAATCCCATATTATTGATGGACAAGCAACCTGGTGTTGTAGAAAGCAGTCTGGGCATGATATCAAGAAAAAATTGGGTTCAGATTTCAGTCAGCTACTCACTAACGGTGTGAGAATGGGCAAATCATTTAACTTCTCTACTATCAAGTAAATCTAGTATCATCTGTAAAATGGGAGTCATAAGCTACCCATTTCACTGGGTTGCAGTGAGGATCAGGTGAGATAATGTATGAAAAGTACTCTACAGACCTTAAATCATTATCTAAATGGTAGTTTGTTGTGGTGGTTGTGGTTGTTGTTAGAGGGCCAGACTTTGTAACAGACAGGGAATGTGGCATCCCTCCCCTTATCAATTCACCAGAAAGGAAAGGCAGAATTTGGGTTGACTTTGGGAAGAAGCTGCATAAGTAGATGCCAACTGGTATGATTTGAGGGTTGAAAAGAAAGTCTCCCTTTCCATATCTTCTACCTGTCAGCCACATTACGTAAAATTCTATACTGAGAAACTCATTCCCTCGGATTGAATACTATCCTCTCTTCCTGAAATTAACTAAAATGCAAATACCTTTGGAAATCACTGTGACCACAGTGTGAATGAATCTAACAGATTTCTTTACTACCAATTAAGAAAGATAGATAGGGCAAGAGTACAGATAACCTTAGTGAGGGGGAGGAGATGCTAAAAAGGGGGAAAGGATCCAGAAAGGGGACATGGTACTCAGCCAAGACTGTCTGCCTATTTTCTCAGCTCTGCCTAGATGTTCATCTGGTTAGGGTGTTTATCATTCATTCATAAAATTATTCACTCATTCCTTCCACAAAGATTTATTGGGTACCTAGCATATGCATTAGGAAGATCATCATCTGACTTTGTGCTACTTACCTCTCAAAATAAAAGCCAGCAGCATCAGGAGGATCACAAACCCCACCAAAGGGACTATGATTATCAATAGCTCAGGGTCTCCCGAAGCTCTTATCTAGAGAGACACAAGAAAGCAGAACAGCTCATACTCTCACCTAGATGCTGTCTCTAAGAGTTTTCCATGCCCCCTTTCTAACCTGTAAGGGCACTTAACTGTTCGACAGCTGAGAAGGCATGAGCTTTACTATGCTCAAAACCCATCACTAACACTTTGCCCTCTATCACCCTACTCTGTTTGAGAATCTTTCTAAAAATCTGAGCTTTAACCTGAATGAGTACAATATTTCAGACAGAGGCAAAAGCTCTCTAAAACCCGAGCTCTTTGGTCAACCCATCATAGGTTTCCTAAAGTTTCATCCAGGATATGTCTGGTGTTAGGAAATGTATTCAGGAGGTTGAACGGCCTACGATCCTGATTTTCCATTATTCTACTCCCACAACCTCAACCCCCCAACTGCTAGTGATTCTAAAAAAAAAAAAGTGTCTATGTGTTTTCTCTAACTTATATGCATTTGTTGTTTGCTCCCAATCAAATATAAGTTCCTTGAAGCCAAGGAATATTTGTTTTTGCCTTTATGGTCCAAGAGCCTAGCAGAGTACCTGGTGCAAAGTAGATGCTTAATAGGTAAATAAGCACGTATTAAGCATCTGCTCTGTACCAAGTGCTGTGCTAAGTGCTCAGGATAGAAAGAAAGGGGGGAAAAAACAGTCCATATTCTCAACAGTCTAATGAGGGAGACTATGCAAATTACTGAAGATAATGTCAGAAGGAAGGCAAGGCTTCTTGTAGAAGATGAGACTTTAATTGTGACTTGAAAGAAGCCAGAGACATCTGAAGACATCCAGTATCAACCACCACTACAACTGAGCATTCCCATTTGTCATCATTCTTTCCTGAGGTCTACATGGTTGCTTTGTCCTGGGCCTCTTCATCAATGTGCTAACATTTGAAGAGGGCTTAGGCTTTTAAAGGAAGAGTTCGAATTGAATAGAAACTTCTACCAGGTTCAGGCATTCTGGGCTCAATAGTCTTGGAAGTCACCGTACTCTTGTCACGACAAAATTAAGGGCAGGTTTGGTGTGGTTTGATTTTTTTTTTTTGGACCAGATCTAAGCTTTCATGGGTATAGATAACTCCCAATGAGGACACACCTTCTGTCAATGAAGCTTGGCACCTGCTCTGCGTGAACCTAGAAAATTGCCAGAGCTTTATAAGAAAGCACTTCCCCTCTGCCATCCCCCTCTCCATCTTATCACATCTACTTTGCCTAAAAAGATATGTGAAATCTTAACTGGGTTGTTTTTACTTTTTGGGTGGTGGTGGTGGTGGTGTATATATACGTGTATCTGTGTTTTTAATTAAAATCACATAGCCCATATACTCCTTGATGGATTGCTTTACCTCTTCAAATTCAGAATCATTTTTCGGAAAACTTGTGGTTTCTGATGTCCAGGGAGGAAAAGAGAAAGAAAAAAAGAGAAGAAAACGGTTATATTTCCTATGACAGTTAAACGTAAGTTTCTGAGATTACATAAAGGTTTCAAAACCTGTCAGAAAGTTCAGATAGCATGCTTAATTTTTTTAATTCACCTTTTTCCTCTCATCATCAACAAGTATGTATTTTTATATACTCAGTTCCAAAACTCCATCATTACCTTATGGATAAATTGAGGCTTTGGGAGATGGAATGGATTTGTCTAAGGTTTCTTCAAATCATAGCACTGCAAATGGGCTTTTTATCAGGGAAAGGGGAGGATCAGACTGTAATAAGGAACCAAAAGGGAAATTCAACATATCTTAATATCCTGCAACTAAATTTTTCTCTCTGCTATGATCGCCAGGAGCCGGAAATTGTAGGTAAGACTCGAGAATTCCTGTCCCTGCTCAGTTAGAATCCTGTTTGATTACAATCATTTCAGAAGGATGAGCCTGAAATTGAAACCATCAAAGAGAAAAGCCAGCCAGGGTAGCTTTTATCAGGGCTAATATGTGCTTTAAATTGGAAATGTCTAATGTGAAAAACGTCCCACAAATGCAAACAGTCCTCAGTGACATCAAATTATTCCCATTTTTTCTTCAGATAATAGTAAAATCCCAAGGAAAAAGTTATGAAGAAATAAGGTTCTCTGTATTATAGCAACAAGAAAATGCAAATAATGGGACCTTCTCCTTTAGTTTGTAAAACCTGCAGTGTTTGAGTGACAATCAGAACCAGGTGCGACAGGCAAGCTCTACCAAGTGTTATGAAATTTTTTCATCTCTTCCTATTGCTTCTCCTAGTTATTACAAGATAGGATTTGAAGTTAGAAGGAAGATTAAAGATCATCTACTATAACCCCTTCATTTTAAAGAAAAGGAAATTGAGACGCAAAAACCTTAAGTAGCCTTCCTGGGGTCATTTAAGCTATCAAACAGCAAAACTGTCATTATAGGGTAGTGGATAGACCGCTGGTTTCAGAGTCAGGAAGACCTGCATTTGAATCTTACCTCAGACAATTCGTAACTGTGTGACTCTGAGCAAGTTACTTAACTTCTCTGGGCCTCAGTTTCCTCATTTGTAAAATGAGAGGGGTTAGACTCCGTAAATGCTGAAGTCTCTTCCAGCTCTACATGTATGCAGGCCATTCAGATGCTAGAATCCAGTTTATTTTCTATTATGCCATATAAATTCTTTTTTAAAAAATTAAATTTATTGGTCTCTTTTGTTTTGACATTGCCTAATTTTCTTTCTGTATGCCACCTTGCCCTTTCCGGAGAATCATCCCATGGTAAAGAAGAAGAAGAAGAAGAAGAAGAAGAAGAAGAAGAAGAAGAAGAAGAAGAAGAAGAAGAAGAAGAAGAAGAAGAAGAGAGAAAAAAATCAGCAAAAGTGATTACTACACCCAAGAAATCAGAAAATATAAGCAATGTTCCATACCATGGACCTCCTGCCTCTGTAAATGAGGGAGTACACATAAATTCTAATAGACTCTAGGGCAAGTCAAGACCTGTTTCCTCTTCTGGAAACTGAATGGGTTGAACTGGATATATTGAGGTCTATCCTAGCTCTAACAGTCTATGATTATATATATCATGAAATTAAAAATTGGAAATTCAGCTTTGGCCAGGGCATAAGATAATCTTTGAATGACATAAGGGGTGTGCCATTTTCCTCAAGCATTACCACAGGGACATTTAAAGTGGAACCCAGATGATGAGTATGAAAAACACATTAACCACCAGAACAATACCACAGAATGAATCTATTCTCCAAAAGACCCAATGAGTCAACTCACACCAGCCTACATCAAGGAAATATGATGTATGCATTTGAAGGAGAGTTGTCATCATTAGGCTCATGGATCTAGACTGGAAAGTACCTCAGAAGTCATCTATTCCAACTCCCTCATTTTACAGATTTGGAAACTGAGTCTCAGGTTAAGTGGCTTACCCAAGATCACTCAACTGGTAAATATTTGAGGTAGGATTCAAACCTAATCCTTCTGACTTTAGAGTCATTAGTCTTTGCACTATACCACAAATGGTATGGGTTAACTACATATGTGTAAATAACTTTGACCAATAACATACCATAATTAAAATATAGCTAAGGGCAGCTAGGTGGCACAGTGGGTAGAGCACTGGCCCTGGGTTCAGGAAGACCTGAGTTCAAATCTGGCCTCAGACACTTGACACTTGACTTACTAGCTGTATGACCCTGGGCAAGTCATTTAACCCCAATTGCCTCACCAAAAAGCAAAAATACAAATAATAATAATAATAAAAACAAAAAACCCATAGCTTACTAGTCTGGAAGAAACAAATTGAACTCCAAAAATCATAGCCCAATTCACTTTTAGGACATAGAATCCTAAGACAGAACAGAATCTAAAATGGAATAGAATCCCAATATTGAAAAGTAATTCCAGAGGCTGCCTCATCAATCCCTCTTGTCTCCAAGAAGACCTGCCCTCAAACAGGGCTGAAAATGCTCAGTTTGGCATTCAAAGCCTTTTATAACCTAGCCCTCTACTACCTTTCCAGTTTTCTTATACCTAGCTCCCCAACATGTACTCTTTGACTTGGTGACACTATCCTACCAGCTGTTTCACAAACAAAACACTCCATCTCTCAGCTCTGGGTATTTTCTCTGGCTGGCCCCCATTCCTGCAATGCTCTTCTCCCTCTGTTGCTCCTACTAACCTCTCTGGCTTCCTTTAAGTCCCAACTAAAATCCATCTTTTACTGGAAGCCTTCTCTAACCCCTTAGTCCCAATCCCTTCCATCTGTTGATCATTTCTTACTTATCCTGCATATAGCTTGCTTTGTACATATTACTTTTCATGTTGTCTCTCCAGTGAATCATGAACCCCTTTGAGGACAGGGACCGTCTTTGGCCTCTTTTTGCACCCCCACTCCTTAGCAGAATGCCTGACATGTAGGAAGTGTTTGAATGTTTATTGATTGATTGAAAACAGTTGTGGAACTGTTTTTGCTTTCCTTTGCTCCAAAAAGACTCCTGAGATTATAATGAATCCATCTACATAAGTCCTGTCATTCTCACTCCTTCACATCCATATTGTTGTGGAAGGGTAATAATTAAACTTCTTTTAAAACCCAAACTTCCCCAGGGTATTTAAACTCACTTAACTAGTGAGATTCAGGGAAGGATCAGGTCCAAATAAAATGCCTCCAAATTGGCACTATTATTAAACATCTTATCACATTGTGTTGGCAAATCACTGAAATCACAGGCAGCTGGGCTAACCAGTTTAGAGCTTGGAAAAGACCTCAGAAATCATGTAAACAAACCCCTTTATTCTACAGAGGAGGAAACTGGGGAGAGGAATCGAGTCACCTCTGGGTGCCTAAGGTCACATGGTAGGTTGAATTTCAGTCTTAATGTTGGGACCAACCCCTGCTTCTCACCTTCACTCAAATATTGCTGACAATGGCTACTGCCTCACTTCCAGTTTTCTGTTAATCCATCTACATTTTGCACTCAAATTTTATTCTCTAACAGGGATGGAGAAACTGCAGCCTCAATGCTACATGTGGCCTTCTAGGTCCTTGGGTGTAGCCTTTTGACTGAGTCCAAGTTTTACAGAACAAATCCTTTTATGAAGGGGATTTGTTCTGTGAAGTTTGGATTCAGTCAAAGGGCTGCACTTGAGGACCTAGAGGGCCACACGTGGCCTTAAGGCCACAGGTTCCCCACCCCTGTACTAGAACAAGTCATTTCAGTGATACAATCAAAACACAGACCTACAATGAAAATATTTAAGAAATAGACTCCTCAAAGCATTTTCTCAATGTAGTCATTTTTTCTCCTTGTCTCCCAGTCTTATCCTGACCCCTGCTGGATAATCTGTGACAGAATTTTGATAAGAGAAGAAAGAAAGAAAAGAAAGAAAGAAAGAAAGAAAGAAAGAAAGAAAGAAAGAAAGAAAGAAAGAAAGAAAGAAAGAAAGAAAGAAAGAAAGAAAGAAAGAAAGAAAGGAAGAAAGAAAGAAAGAAAGAAAGGAGGGAGTGAGGAAGGGAGGAAAGAAGGAAGGAAGGAAGGAAGGAAGGAAGGAAGGAAGGAAGGAAGGAAGGAAGGAAGGAAGGAAGGAAGGAAGGAAGGAAGGAAGGAAGGAAGAAGACAAATGCCATTTAATCAATTATAAGATGCTACACATGGAAAAGCTTGGAGATCATTTAGTCTAACCCCTTTGTTTTATAAATGGGAAAACTGAAGCCCAGTGACAGGAAATGATCTTCCCAACGTCCCATATGAAATTGACGGCATACATTGACAAATCTTGGCTCCTGGTCAAGGCTTTTTGTATGAGGCACTGCAGTACCTTATGGGCTGCTAGGTGACAGGCCTAAAGTTAGGAAGGCACATTTTTAAGTCCAGTGTGTATCCAGGGCACAAGTGGCTTGTAGGGTGTACACAGTGGGTGATATATGATGCTGGTCCATGTGATTCCTGACACTTTCAAGAGCAGTCCTAGAAAATCACTCTTTCTGAGATGGAGTACATAAGCAACCATTTGAAAATGACTAATGCTATTAGTGGGGCAGCTACATGGTACAGTGGATGGAGTGTCCAGTCTAGAGTCAGGAAGACTCATCCTCATGAGTTCAAATCTGGCCTCAGACACTTACTAGCTGCGTGACCCTGGGCAAGTCACTCAACCCTGTTTGCCTCAGTTTCCTCATCTGTAAAATGAGCTGGAGAAGGAAATGGCAAACCACTTCAGTATCTTTGCCAAGAAAAGCCCAAATGGGGTCACTAAGAGTCAAACATGACTGAAAAACAACTGAACAACAAGAAGCAATGCCTCATGGAATTAGAACTGGAGGAACCAATAGTAGTGTTACTCTGGCCAAGTCCCTTTAACCTCTCTCATCCTCAGTTTTCTTCTGTGTACAAGAGGGAGAAAATAGCACCTACTTTGCATGGTTGTTGCAAGTCAAATGACAACATATTTAAAGAGCTTTTAAAACTTCAAGCTGCAATATAAATGTTGGCCATAGTTAGAGAGCATCTTAGTCCAAATTCCTCCTTTTACAGGTGAGAAAAATGAGAACCAGAGGGGTTAAGTAACTTGCCCAATGTCACATAGTAAGCAGCTAATCTCGAATTGCAACATAAGACTTCCTCACCAAACTAGCAAAAAGTATTTATTGAGCAACTATTATGTTCAAAGAACTAACTTTGGGACTAGTTCATTCATATAGCCCAAATAACAAGAAGAAAAAACATGTAGAATGTTGGTGTTTCAAGAGACCTTAGAAACTGTCTAATTGAACCATCACCAGCCCCATTTTGCAGATAATGAGACCGAGGCCGAGAGGGAAATGACTTGCTCAAGGTTGGAAAAGATAGTAAATGGCAGGTCTAGGATGTGAAGCCAGGTCATCCAATGTCAAACCCAAGACTCCTTCTACACCTTACTCCTGGGAAGATTTCATTGATTCAGTGTCAAATATTCATTTAGTGTCTGCTATGTACAAAGAAGAAGAAAGAGGAGGAGAAGGAGGAGGAGGAGGAGGAGGAAGAGAAGAAGGAGGAGGAGGAGAAAGATCTTCCCTACCCTCATGGGTCTTATAGTTTACAAAAGGAATAGCCTGCATGAGTGCAGGGTGATAAAACTTCCTTCTACAAACTGTTCTAATTACGTGACTACATAAAAAACTCATAAGAAACCTAACGTCCTCTCACATGAGGCTTCTTTATTAAGGAATCTAACTCCTAAAGGTCAGCTGCTGAGCACAGCTTTCCCTCAGTACAGCCTGCCAATCAAACCCAAATCTAATAGTGGTATATATGGCCCCAGTCTAGAAGAATATCACTTCACTTACCCTGAGTTGTGTAGTGATTAACTATAAAAAGAAATGTCACCAGATTATAGATCTCATACCTATCAGGATTCTTAAGATCCTTCAGTCTCCTCATTTTGCAGAACAGGCAGCTGAGAGGGCCGGAGGAATTCAATATCTTAACCAAGGTCACAATAGCTAAAATAAGTGACCC